TTCTCCTACTGCTGTGTGCTTGGCGTCATTGTCATGCTAAAAGGTGAACGGCCTTCCCTGTTTCTTTGCAAAGGGCAACAGCATTTCTGCCCAGGCCCCTGCTACAGAGAACCAAACCTGTTCTCCATACGTCTTCAGAATCCCCGGCGCTCACTAGTCCCTGTACTGTATTGAGGTGTACAAGCGAATAAGTGCAGGTTGTGCAGCAGACATTTCACCGCAGAAATGTTCCAGCGTGATCCACAGGCAGAGTTAACCAGTGAGGAGTATTTGCCAGTGAAACCATCTGGGAGAGGAGAGCAGTATTTCTACTGGATTAGAAGAGCTGGATCCACAAGCCTGCTTGTTTACAGTGTCACAGGGCCGCTCCACCTCACCAGAAGTCCTGCTGCCTCGTTCTGAGTCCCAGAACATGGCGCTGAGCAGACCTGGAAATTTCCTCAAGTTTGTGATATGAATTGGAGGTTTTACACGCCACTGTGTCCATTTGACTTTCAATGTGGTCTGAAATGCGCTCATCAATACCGGTTCTTTCTCACCCTGAAACCTAAAATGTGTCACAGCTCCCCTTTAATAATCGTCTGGACCGTGCTCCAAGGGCCTTAGAGATCTTTTTGTACCCATCCCCTGCTCCGTGCCTTTCCACATCTTTATCCCAGAGGGATGATTGCTCCATAGCTGAGTCTTCACATTGAGATGCACTACCCAGCAGAGGAGACCTCGAGGAACAGAGGATTTTATTCCGAAATCATTCCGAATCACTCCAGTTGACCACAGGGGTGTGGAGGGGATTAAGTTGTTGTGTGATTTGGAAGCAAACAGGATACACCAGAGATAATTTCCCATTGCTAATAACCAAGGGTTGTGTACACTTATTCAACTCATTTTTTCTCATCTTTCCATTTAGAATGTTTGAACATCTGTCTTTCACTTGAAGGTTGTGTGTTACAATGTATAAACAAATTCTGATTTACTGCGTCTTGGTTTCAAGCTGTTAGGCAACATCATATGGTACTTTGGAAGTCTGTAGACATTCTGTAAGCACTGCATTTACCTCACCAAATGGCTAACTCTTTTTGCTGGGCTGTCAAACGCAAAGAAGGCCATCGAAATGATCTAAATTACGTTGCCCAGTATACTTTAATGCAAAAGAAGTGCAGTAGACAGTACACCCAGTGCTCTTCGGACAGACTACCAATATTCAGACATCAGGGCAAAACGAGAAAACAAACCAGAGCAATCCTAGATCCAGATATAGTTACACGGACAGTTTTTTTTGGCGTGACAGCAAAACCGAGGCTCGAGCTGGTACCCCCCTGGTTCAGACTGATACTGCAGCAAAAAAACATCAGGTTAAGAAAGAAATAAACATCAGAGTAACAACTATGTGGAGCTGCGTCCTTTAGATTTCTCAGATATAAAACGCTGGCATGAAACGTCTTTCAACTGAATGAAAGAATAAGCCGAAACCCATTTAACTGGCGGCATTTTAGAGGCAAAACGGTTTCAATCACACCCTCCTGATCACTGCTATGGAGCGTGAGGTATTTCTGATCAGCTGGGGGGGCCTGGGGAAATGCCCGAAAATCAATGTGGGGGTGTTTCCACGCCAATGTGGACATACATTTATACACACACCTGGGTCTGCTAGAGCAATCCGAGTCAAGTACAGGGAGTGGCCAAAAAAATGGAAACACCCGAGCAGACGAGGGACACCCAGCATACTGAAAGCAAAGGCTTCCACAGAGGCGTAGCTCTTATGTTAAGCAAATGACATCCCTGCATGCTTCGAGGCACGTATTAGACTGCTGGACAGGCCTGGTCATTATGGCTGCAAGAGGATTCAGTGTCTTGTAAAGAGGGCTGATTCTTGGGGAGTGATGGGCACGAGTTTCAGAGGCCAAAACGTCTCTGTGTGCAGATGTTTCACCAGGTGTCCAAGACAATTGCTTACACTTCTATAGCACCTTTTCCAGGTCATGGGGGATCCCCTCCACCCCCACCAGTGTGCAGCCCCACCTGGAGGAGGCACCAGTCCACTCCCCACACAGCAGCTCTCAGTGGGGAGGAGAGCAGAGTGATAGCCAAATTCCCCCCCTGGCCTTTACCCTGGCCTCCTAATAACCCCCCCTCTCTGAACTGGCTCCATCACTCTGCTCTCCTCCCCACTGAGAGCTGGGGTGTGGGGAGCGGACTGGCGCCTCATCCAGGTGGGGGCTGCACACTGCTGGGGGTGGAGGGGATCCCCATGACCTGGAAAGCGCTTTCAGAGTGGATGGTCCAGAAAAGCGCTATATTAAGTGTAAGGATTATTATTATTCTGGAATAATGCCCGAGAGAGTTTCATACCGAGCATCTCTCCTCCTCCAGACGCTGGTACTCCGTGCCCCAGCGTGTACAAGCCCCACTGGCCCAGTGCTTTCTTAAAAGTGGCCTGCCACTGGTGTTTCCATCTGTTTGGCCACTACCTGGATTGTGTGGAAATATCCCGCAAGGGGTTCCAACCCACAAGCCGCACAGTTTTATCCGAAAAAACAGTGCAGAGAGCAAGCAGCCTTTAGGCGAAACCCTAAAAACAAGATTTTACTTCGTACAACACTTAACGCCGCCGTCCCAGCTCTGCGCTGCCTAATGAATCGTTAAGGCCCGCTGTCTGCGAGGAAGAATGTTCCCTTCTTCCAATTCAGCGCCAGAGTCTCTCCCAGCAAGCAATGGGCACATACCCTGGACAGGACATGCCAATCCGTCACAGAGAGACAGGAGACACAAACACACACTCTCGCGCGCGCCAGGAACGCTTTCCCTAGAAGCCAATTAACTCACCAGCATGTCTCTGGACTGCGGGTGGAAACCCACACGAACATGGGGGAGAACATGCAAACTCCACCCAGACAGCACCCCAGACCCAGAACTGAACCCAGGGCCCCCAAAGCGCTATGGGGCTTGCAGCAAGGCGGCGGAAGTTGTTTTAGGTGACTCCTGCCTCCAAGCCTTCGGGTGGCCAGACTCCATGCCTCGAAGCATGCAGAGCTGCCCCCAACTCTCTCCCTGGTTTCACTTTCCGATCTCGGCGAACGAGGAAATGAGGCAAAGGGCGGCCGATCCAGGTTCGCAATCCTCCCGGGAGCGTCAATAGTAGCCACCGACGAGCCCACCTGCCCCGACCTCGATGTCTTTCCAATCGATCCTTCGCTTCCAACATCGATCCCGCCGGCCGTCGGGCTGCGCGAAGCAGCGATTAAGCGCACTTCCGCGTTTCAACCGGATACAAACTCGAAATCACCAAACAGCTTCAGGGTGCGCATAAATCCAAATCCGACACAACAAAAAACCCAACTCGGACAAGGTAAAACCGTGCCATTTTGTACCGATCGCTTTGTATACAGCGCCAAACTTCTGCGCTTCTCCCCCGAAAAGTTCAGCCGGAAAGTATACCAACAACTCAACTCGAGAGCCTCGCCTGGAAAACACCACCGAAAGCAAAAACGAAACTCGGGTTTCAAAGTTAAAAGAAAAAAACAGGTATCATGCCATTTTCTTCACTTCAGATCTGATCGCCGAAACTCCCCAAAATGACACGAACATCGCATCCATAAACGACGGCCTGGTCAGGACTAAATTAACGAAACCCCGTCTAGAAAGCGATAATATCAAGCTACGTTGTCTCCAATTATTTAAAAATTGAAATTCCTCCATTAAACTTACCACAGCAGTCGTGGGAGCACTTCATTAAGTATACTAAGTAATTAAAACGCAGTCTAAAGTTCACAGCCCACAGTGCGTAGTTTCAACATTTTCAATTGTAATACGGTAAACGACTACTTCCCCCCGAAGAAAAAACAACAGGAAAACACTCTCATCACTGCGTCCCCTTTTCAGAATCCACAGAATAAACCAAAGCTCTGAAAACCATGTTTTAGCGGAAAAAAAGAAGCGCCAAACTAATCGGTTGATTTACCTTCAGTTCACGCACCTCAGCAACCAAACCCCTGTAAAAAAAAAAATGGCCTCTCTTCCCCCTTCGCTAATTCGCGCTTCCCACCCCGCCCTCCAGCTGCCCGCGTTCGCAGCCTCCGATTGGATCAGCGACGTGCCTGTCAAAGGCCACGCCCCGATCACGGGGCCAGAGGAAACGGAAGTCGAAGTGCTATTGGCCCGCCTGGACGCTCGTCCCGACGCCTCTCGATGTCATTGGGCAGCGGCGGCGGCCGCGTAACGGAAGAGCTCGGTGAGCCGGGCCAATCGGAGACGACGAAAATACCGGCGAGCGGGTCCTCCAGGTACTGTGTCGCTAAGCAACCGTCTGTTGACGAGGCGTCCGCGGAATGCGCCCCGTCCGCTTTCATTAAAAAAATACTCGTACAAGTGCTCAAGAAAACGTACGGCAATTACTTTTTTAAGGCGCCTATAAAATAATAATAATGTCCCTTTTTAACTTAAATTTTAGTTTAACAGCTTCACTAACGCGTATCTGATAAACTGGCCTAATTCTCACCCTGAAATCGAAACTGATGTGGTCGGTACGTTATTAATGTACCACTTGCTGACTCGCATTTGTGGGTTAATTACCAACTTCTAAGAAAAAAGAGAGCGTACAGACTGTAAATATTGGCTTCTTCGTGTTTCAGATAATTGTTTCATATAGATAATATTTGAAATCCCTCGTATTTCCTAGAGCACACAGTGAAAAGAGTTAACTGTGAGGACAGTGAAGTGCAATTTTAGTTTCTATACTGTCGAAATGTGTTAGAAATCAATAAGTTTTACCTTTGTAAATTTGTGTTTCGTGGACAAAAAAGGTTTTCACCTATATTGTATATTTATCCATCCTCTGGCCTGCTCTCGAGAGAGAGCTTGGAAGTTTGATCCTATTTTTTTGTTTGTTTATTGTTGGAGTCCCGAAACAAGCTGCCCAGCCACGTTGTTGAAATCTGGGTTTCTTCGAGAAACAGCCCGGTCAGATTCTCCAGTCAGGAGACGAGGCGCTTCTTTACACAAAGGGGGGGTGGGGGGATGGAGCAAGCCGCCCAGCCCCGTGGCCGAAGACAATAACTCTGGTTTCTCTCAAGACACAGCTGGATGAGATCCTCCTGTCAGGAAAGGAGGCCCCTCTTTACACCAAGAGCGGTAGGAGTGTGGGACAAGCTGTACCGGCCATATTGCTGACGCCGATTCGCTGGCTTCCTTTGAGAAACAGGTGGATGAGATCTTTAGATCAATTAGCCGCTGATGATCAAATGACCCAGATGGGGCCCCTTTCGCTTATAAATGTTAAAAAGTAACATGTATTCCTCACAAAAACGAGGAGCTCTTAGAGTTTGGTTGCCCTGGGAAATGTCCTTTAAGAGGTGAAGAGTCAGGGAAGTCATTCACATAAGTACACCTGAGGTGTCGCATCCGGGCTGGGAACGATGCTGCCTGGGGCTGTCATGGGTAACCATAGCATTCCCATGAGCACTTGCGGTCGGTCAATCCTACCAACCCTCCCCCATCAGCCAATGGACCATCTAATTAATCACCACAGTGAAGCCCCAAGACCACTCTTCCCTCTAATTTCTAATTGCCTGTGCGCCCCAAAATTTCAAGGACTGCAAATTTCTTCCCCAGTGACAAAAACCTCGTGCGCCCTACATTGAGCGTATGTCAGATTGCGAACCTGAAATTAATTTGTTCTTGTTAATATAGCCATCCTCATAGAAGCATAGAGATCCAAAAGATCAGGAACAGCGATTCCACGAGTCCAGTCATAGAGACCGAGTGTCCGAGCGGGCAGGAGCAGGGAGGTATGAGACTACGAGAGCATCAATATCGATGATTGAGTAGCAAGAATAATACACACAGCCAAGGTGGACCTCTCGCATCCAGAGCATCATTCAATTGACGACCGTGTTCATTTTATTATCAGCATCTTTTGGGGGGAATTGAATTTGTGGGGCGCAGTTCAATTTCCTGTGTGCGCACACGTGCTCGGCTTAGAGGGAACTAGCCCAGGACCGCGTTGATCGAGTGTCTCTGACATTGGGTTGCCCTGAATATCGCACTTCCCTGCCTGCGTCAGGAGGTTGGCGTTGCGAGATCCCAGATCTCCTAGCTGTTGCATTGCTTTGAGCCTCCTGATGCTTCTTGCTAGCAGCGCTGTACTGAGCGTCTTTTCCTGTCCTGTCAGCTGTCCCACAGCCAGGCTGTCCTCCCTTCCTTGAATCCCCAGGCTTCCAGTCAGCCTCGCTGATCCCAACTTTTCCAGTCCAGTCAGCCTCACTGATCCCAACTTTTCCAGTCACGTCAGCCTCACTGATCCCAGCTTTTTCCAGTCCAGTCCATCCGGTCAGCCTCACTGATCCCAGCTTTTCCAGTCCAGTCCATCCAGTCAGCCTCACTGCTCCCAGCTTTTCCAGTCCACTCTACCCAGTCAGCCGCAATGATCCCAGCTTTTCCAGTCTAGTCTGTCCAGTCAGCCTCACTGATCCCAGCCTTTTCAGTCCAGTCTGTCCAGTCGGCCTCACTAATCCCAGTTTATTCCAGTCCAGTCTGTCCAGTCAGCCTCACTAATCCCAGCATTTCCAGTCCAGACTGTCCAGTCAATGTGTGGCATAAACTTGGTTTGATGGCTGCTGCTTGAAGAGGTGTTAGTGGGGCCAGCAGGGGGTCCTAATGTGTGGGTGTGGGTCCTAATGCCCCAGTATAGTGGTGGGGACACTATACTATAAAAAGGCGCCGTCCTTCGGATGAGACGTAAAACTGAGGTCCTTTGCTCTGTGGTCCTGTGTCTGTGCTCATTAAAAATCCCAGGGTGTTTCTCGAGAAGAGTAGGGGTGTTACCCCGGTGTCCTGGCCAAATTTCCCCCCTGGCCTTTACCCATCATGGCCTCCTAATAACCCCCCTCTCTGAAATGGCTCCATCACTCTGCTCTCCTCCCCACTGAGAGCAGGGGTGTGGGGAGCGGACTGGCGCCTCATCCAGGTGGGGGTACACACTGCTGGTGTTGGAGGGGATCCCCATGACCTGTAAATTGGAGTGGAGGGTCCAGAAAAGTGCTATATAAGTGTAAGCCATTATTATTATTATAATATCTACAGTATGTCCACCTTAAATCAGCCGGTTGTGAAGACCTGTAGCTGGAGCCTGTGAGACGCGATCAGTCTCCTGCGACAAGACAATAAGTTATACTGTAATAAGTCAGTTGGTTCAGTCCAGATCACGAACGGCCAGAGAAGCTGGCCATTGACTGAGCCGTGACTGAGCACACAAGCTGCACAGATGATCAAAACGGAGGTGTGTTTGAACAGTGACCCCCAAAAAAGCCGACCGGACTTCTGGTGACGTCACCAGCATCTGGGGTGGCATTCCCTGCTATGAATATAAGGTTTGCTCAGGCCCCAGGGGTTATGGTATAGTGGCACAGTGGCTAGGATTGCTGCCACCTCCCCATGATGGGGCCCTGGGTTCAATTCTGGACCTGGGGTGCGGTCTGTGTGGAGTTTGCATGTTCTCCCCGCGCAAGTTGGGGCCGGTGTGAGTCTGTGTGACGTCCAAGATGTTTATGGGTTGTTTCTTAAGGTCTTCCACAGATCCAAAGCATTCAGTTCATCAAAGACACAGTCACCTGCAGAGAAAACCTTGGATCCTGGTAAGAATGATTTTTTTTTTAACGACAAAATAAATCAAATCATGTGATTACGATCACATGGGTGGCACAGGGGGTCACCGTTGCTGTCTTGCAGCTCTGGAGCCCTGGGTGCAATTCTGGACCTGGGGTGCTGTCTGGGTGGAGTTTGCATGTTCTCCCCCCCCCCCCACCATGTTTGTGTGGGTTTCCTCCAGCTGCTCCGGATTCCTCCCACAGTCCAAAGAGACGCTGGTGGGTTAACCGGACTTCTGGGAAAACTGGTGTGAGTGTCTGTGTGTGCCCTGCGATGGACTGGCGTCCCATCCAGGGTGTACCCTGCCTCGAGCCCGTTGCTTGCTGGGATAGACTCCCCTGCGACCCTGAATCGGATTAAACGATCAGAAAATGGATGAATGGATGATAAGGCCCGAGAAAGCTTCAAAACCACAGAGTGGTTATTTTGTCTTTCTGGTTATTCCCATCAACAAACATTCTTGAAGGACCGCTCATGTACAGAACGAATGCTTTGGCTGCCTGCGTACACAGTAGATTCGTGCTTCCCAAACGGAGACGTGTCCTAGTCAAGGCATAAATGCCGCGCCTTCAGTCTGATGGCTCAGACAGGGGCAGTAAATTAAACGAGCCTGTTTGCTGCCCGCGCCGAGCCCCTTGCGAATCAATTATTGACTAATAATGACCTTTGGATCTGCACAGTTGGAAGCTGGCATGCTGGAAAATACACTTGACCTCGCTACACTGTCACCCCATGCCAAGTTTGTGCATTGCCTTCATCACTTCAGTCTGTTCATCTTCGAATAGAATCCAACCCATACTTACTGGGAAGCGCATATGTGCATCAATGATCATCCTGTGCATTCCCGTACCTGTGTAAATCCTTTATATTCACCACAATTGACCAACTCCAAACCCTGTGTTGGCGATTTCTGGAAAGCGCTTACTGATAAGCTACAGGGAATGGAAACACAAACAACAGAGGACAAACACCAAGCTTGCCCTGGGAGTTAAGCAGGGATTAAGGCCTGGCACACATTCTCCAGCGCGTGTCAACAGAGGACAAATGGGTTTTGTCCGAAAACGACTTATAACTTATTTCACATGAAAAGCTGATTCAGTCCTGTGGTCCTTTTTTTTAATGTAGTCCATCCAAGCTATACACAGGCCAGCATGGTGGTTGGTATTGCGGTGCTGGGGTCCTGGGATCAATTCCTGGGGGGTGCTGTCTGTGTGGAGTTTGCATGTTCTCTCTGTGTGTTTCCTCGGGGTGCTCTGGTATCACTTTGTCTGACGTCTCAGAAATCGGTCCTGCATTGAAGCAGCTTTCTGTTTTACCCGCACAGAAGCGTACAGG